TGATTATCGCCCATTCGGTGAGAGAGAGAGAGAGAGAGAATGAACAGATGTGAATATGCATACCTGTCTATCCTTTTTTCTGAGCACAAAGAAAACAGTGTCCATAAACTCAGCCAATCGGGAGAGGAAGAAGATATATCCTAAGAAAGCGAAATACGGGTCGACATTCTCGCAGAGTGTGGGACAGCGCCACACATTGAGGCCAAAGTTGGTTCGGGGGATAAAGTTGTAGAGACCCCAGAAATTGACGGCAACATTGAGAGCGTTGAACGCCCGTATCGGCCACCGCAGGTCATACGGCTTACGGGAGGCCATCAATTGAGGGCCAATTCGTTTGACAAAAGTTAGATAAATTCCTGAATACAAACGTGTGATCCAAAAGTGATATAATATTTAGATATAAAGTTAGATCTTTTAGATATAAATGTTATATTTGTATCTCATTTAAATACCGGTGATGAGTAACAGCGGCCACGGGGTGGACATAAGCGGGTAATCCTTGACAAGTGGACACTGGTATTGATGCCACACATCGTAATAGATATATTGTATGAGTGAGCTATTCATTTTGAATGAACAAAATATATGGTAAATATTAAGCAACGATAAAAGTAATCATCAAAACACTAGTGAAGACTCTAAAGACAATTGAATTGAATTTAAAGTATGGATAAGAAGATAGAGATGTGATTCTCAAACATAGGAATTAATTTGTGAACACAACTAATAGGGATTCCATGCCTTTTATGAGGTTTTGGTTCAATTAAATTAAGTCCTAAATTATATTTGTCTCGGCCTTTGGGAAAAGGGTTTTCACACAATCCGCACAATAGTTGCATATACTGTACAGTAGACCAGCAATTCTTGCATGTCTTATAAACAGGTAGTTAATCGCCTTGTGTTGTATGTGTTGTATGTGTTGTATGTGTTATAATGTGTGTATAATAGTTATATCATTAACAGCTAATTGTTTTAAATATGTGTACATTTTGTTATAAACTCCTCTTTTTACAATTTTCGCTTATATTACGATAACGTTATCAAAATGTATACATTTTTAAAAATTAATATAAAATTAATTCAATTAAAATATACATTTAAAAGTTAGTTTATTTTTGTGTTATTTTTCATAGAATATATATTTACTACATTAATGCTATTTATTTCAGATTTACTTCATAAAGTTATTAAATAATTAATATTTTAATTTAATTAAAGCTTGCATATACTGATTTATTACAATTTTAATTGAATTATATAAAATAAACAATATTTTATTTTTATTTATTTATAAAATCACGGCATATATCACACAATGAATACAATTTCAATGTCAATCTCATAATGAAAGTGAAAAATTAGAGGTTTTGAGAAAATGGGAAAAATTGTTTCAATTTTAATGAAATAATAGCTTCAGATGTGTTTGAGAAACCAGTAGTTCTGGAGTTTAATTACTTTAACCATTTTTAACTACAACTTCGTGATTGAGTCTCGCATTTAATTGCTGTTAATGTGAAAAGAATATTAGGAAATGCTTTCTAAACAAAACCCAAATCCGATTTATTTACACAACAAATTCATTTTCAGTGGAAATCATAGGAAATTATCATAAAATCTCATGCAATTTGTATAAACAAAAGTTTATTTTTGAAATATTGTTTCTTTTTTTGAACTGAAATATTTTTAGATGTAATTATCGTATATTTAATAATATTTAAATGCTTGAATTTATAATAAATTATAATTATATGTAATTTTATTACTTTGTAGATATACTGTGTATATTCTAATTATAGTCTAAGCAAAAGTAGTTTTTATTAGATTTTAAATATAATATTTAATTTATATAATAATCAAATTAATAAATTCTAAATATTATATTACTATTTTAATACATTTAAATTAAGAAATTTATTTAAATTAATAAACAATTGAAAATGAATTGACATCTAAATAAAAATCATATCTAAAAACAATTTTTGATAATCATATTTAGAAATGAGAAAACAATTTATAGAAATTTAACCAAACGTTTGAAATAAGTTTACAAATTATGACAAAAATAAACTCCAATATAGAGACCGAATGGAAAGTCGTTGAAATCGGGATTAAGTTTTATTTTAAAAAAGTATAAAATAACACAAAATAATTATTTAGCGAACGACTAATTGGACGCATCGGTGCTAATGATGTCCACTTCGCTCAGAGTGTCGTCCAACTCGTTCTTCGTATTCTTCTTACTCTCAACCGATTCGTTGTCTTTGATTTTCGTCTCTTTCTATACAATCGCAACAAAACATAACAAATTTCATTAAAAACTCGTCAAAACATTTGCAAAACTATTGCTAATTAAGTTACAAATGATTAGATTTATGTTTACCTTAAGGTCCTGTTTGGCGAACCTCTCAAACATATTACGATAAGTGGTCTTCTCTTTCTCTAACGCGGCTTTAATGGCGTTTACGGACAAAACCAATTGATTTTTGGCCGCTTTGTTATTCGGGTCCAATTGGAGCACAGCGTTGAAGTCATTGCGGGCCAACTCGTAGTCCTTTTGGCCGTAATAGGCCTGACCTCTGCGGAAGAGTCCCTTTTCGTTGTTGGCGTCAATGCCGAGCGCTTTCTCGCAGTTCTTGATGGTGTCGGCGTAGTTGTCGACCTTGAGGTAAGCCATCGCCAGATTCAGATACCCGGCCAACAGAAGCTCATTGCTCTGTGCCTTCAGTTCGCCCTCAAAGTCGTCCGGAGGGCCCAACAGTTGGATTATTCTCTTGTATTGCTTTATCGCTAATTTGTATTTCAATTCCTATTTCAATGCAATCAAAAACATTACAATCCAAGAGAGAGAGAGAGAGAGAGAGAGAGAGAGAGAGAG